ACGCTCTGTCATAAGAACAATTAATGGCATTGTCAGGTCATCCGAACAAGTGCGTGCCTTTTCGGGACTCGGGAACAAATCTGTTTACGCCGAGGGTGTGAGCGACCTGATAGTCGTTCTGCCAAATGTGACTTTAGAGATAACTTTCACCGTGGTGTGTGACAGTGCTATTCCGGGTGATGTTGACGTTATTATTGGATGGGATGTTATCGGTCGACCATCTGTGAGAGTTGAAAAGAATGCCGATGGCCTGGATTTACATTGTGAACCAGTTAGTGCGATGAAATTGTTCACCCTAAAGACTTCTGTGGATGTTAAGATAAATCAGCAAGGGCTAGATGACAGCTTAAAGCCACAAGTGAAGAAATTACTAACACTCTATAAAAGCAAAACGCCTGAAACGATTACAACAGGTAAAATGACCATTCGATTAAAAGACAGTACTCCGGTTTCATACCGTGCACGTCGTTTAGCACTTCAAGAACGAATAGAAGTTAACAAAATAATTGACGATCTTTTGTCTAAAGGAATCATCCGAAAGAGTCGTTCAGAATATGCCAGTCCTATTGTTCTAGTTAAAAAGAAGAACAATGAGACAAGGATGTGTGTTGATTACCGAGATATAAACAAACGTGTTTATAAAGAAATATACCCCCTACCCGTTATCGAAGAACAGGTGAACTCATTGTCTCACGCCAAATACTTCACTACACTAGATATGAAGTCTGGTTTTTATCAAATGGAAATTGAGGAAAGTTCCAGACACATTACTGCGTTTATCACACCAGATGGGCTCTATGAATTTAACCGTATGCCTTTTGGATATGTCAATGCCCCGGCAATATATCAGCGAGCAATTGACGAAGCTTTGGGAGACCTGAAAGGTAATAAGGCTTTTGTCTACCTTGATGATGTGCTCGTGCCGTCGGCGACAATAGAAGACGGCTTGCAATATCTGGAGGAAGTGTTGAGTGCTTTGGCTATTCATGGATTTTCCTTGAACTATGAAAAGTGTAAATTTTTTGAGAAACAGATAGAGTATCTTGGTGTCCTATTGAGTGAAGGAACAATTCGCCCTAGTCCGAGAAAAGTGAATGCGCTAACCCAATCACCTTCTCCGACAAGTGTTAAAGGTATTCGCCAGTTTATGGGACTCGCGGGTTATTTTCGCAAGTTCATTAAAGACTTCTCCATCATTACGGCTCCAATTACGGCTTTGTTACGAAAAAACCGTGTTTTCGAGTGGACTCCCGAATGTGAGCGGGCAAGGCAATTTATTATGGACAAACTGACCAGTTCTCCTGTATTACGAATGTTCAATCCCGCCCTGAGTTGTGAACTTCACACTGACGCGAGTTCAGTGGGACTTGGCGCTGTGCTGCTCCAAAAAGAAGACGGTGTTTCGCGACCTGTCGCCTATTATAGCCGTCGGACGACCGATTACGAATCAAGGTATCACTCGTATGATTTAGAGACACTTGCTGTAGTGGAAGCTGTTGAGCGATTTCGAGTTTATTTGTACGGAGTGCACTTTGTGGTGTACACTGACTGTAATTCAGTGAGAGCAACTGCTTTGAAGAAAGACTTACACCCCCGTGTAGCACGTTGGTGGATTAAGTTACAGGACTACGACTTTAGCATCGAGCATCGTCCCGGAAGTAAAATGGCCCACGTGGACTATCTGAGTCGAAACCCACCAGAGGAAGAATCTGCGCTGAAGGTGTTCGCTTTGAAAACTATAAACGTGAGTAGACTATCAGATGTCAAAACTTTGCGAAGTTTTCAGGAGCAAGACACATTCTGTTTTGAAATCCTGAATAATCCAGAAATAAATCCCAACTTTATTGTAAAAAATAATGTCGTTGTGACCAAGTCAAAACCCCATAAGTGTTTTGTTCCCATTGAAGCACGCCTTTTGACAATGAAACTATATCATGATGAATCATCGCACATTGGTTTCGACAAATGTATAGCCAAATTACGGGAGGATTTATTTTGGCCAAAAATGGGCAAATGTTTGAAAAAGTACATTAGAAACTGTCGAGCATGTGTACTAGGAAAATCACATACGGTGGTGGCAGCATGGCGAAAAACCTGATGATATCCTCCACACTTGGCACATTGATCATGCAGGACCTTTGATAAAATCAAATGGATGCACGCACATCTTGGTAATAATTGATGCCTTCTCTAAATATTGCCGTCTCCAACCAATCCCAAAGAAAACATCTGAAGATAGCATCCGTGCTTTGTTACCAGTTTTTCAAGAGCTGGGGACCCCGAAACGCATAATAGCTGACAGAGCAGCCGCATTCACATCGGTGACATTCCAGAATTTCCTTAGTGAGCAAGGAGTTCAGTTACATCATATAGCGACTGGAATGCCTCGAGGAAATGGACAAGTAGAGCGTGTTATGCGCACATGTTTCAATTTACTGCGAGCTACACTTATGAGCGAAAATGAGGAGCAGTGGACAACGATATTGCCAGCTATAGAAGAGGATCTAAATAACACAATCCATTCGACAACTGGTTACGCACCTGCAGTACTCCAACTGGGAAACAACCCTAGACTGTCAGCGACGCAACAATTTTTAGGAGATGCGCCGGTAGCGGATAACTTCATTGATAGCGACGAAGCTGTAGGCCAGGCTCGGATTCGTATTGAAGATGAAGGAAAAAAGAACGCTCAACGGTTTAATGCAGCTCGCTACCGGACAAGCTTATTTGACATTGGGGATCTTGTGGCTGTCGAAGACTCCCAGTTAGCTGGAGGCGGAAAATTGAAACCGAAGTTTAAAGGACCCTTCACTGTCCGAAGCGTCCTTCCTAACGACAGATATTTGCTAGGCGGAAAAGGACGACGTACTACAGTAGCCGCTCATGAGCAACTACGACGTTGGGCCTCCCAGAACTGACACATAAAATGAAAGTGTACGTAGAATACAATACTCGTATCATAAATCACACTTTCAGATAAGGTCTGGCTTTTAGCAGCAACACAAAATGATTTGGTGCTAATCGCAACAGAAAAATTCTGACTGTGTATAAAATGTTGATGAATTTTAAAAAAAAAAGAAATTTATTTCAAGAGTTTCATGTGTCTGACATTTGGCAGCATCTGAATGCGTACGAAAGATTAAATAACAGAGACCATAGTAAAATGAATAAGTCATCCTTTTTTTTTATTGTTTTCTCGTATTTGTGTTTGAATATTGTTACGATCAGATAAGGTCTGGCTTTTGACAGCAACAGAAAATGTCTGGCTGTGAATAGCAACAGAAAATCTCTGACCGTCAAAATAAGGAAAAAAATATAAATTAAAATAAGAGTGGTGTTGTCACTTTCAGATAAGGTCTGGCTTTTAGTGGAATTGCAACAGAAAATTTCTGATTGTGTACAAAGTACTGATGAAATTTAATTGAAAATGTTTTGACACATTCAAATTAGGTCTGACATTTGGCAGCATCTAATTGTGTATAAAAGATGAAAATAAAAATGATACAGATGTTTGTATTATTTTTGAGGATTGTTACGATCAGATAAGGTCTGGCTTTTGACAGCAACAGAAAATGTCTGGCTGTGAATAGCAACAGAAAATTTCTGATCGTGTGAAAATAATGTTTTGACACATTCAAATTAGGTCTGACATTTGGCAACATCTAATTGTGTATAAAAGATGAAAATAAAAATGATACAGATGTTTGTATTATTTTTGAGGATTGTTACGATCAGATAAGGTCTGGCTTTTGACAGCAACAGAAAATGTCTGGCTGTGAATAGCAACAGAAAATTTCTGATCGTGTGAAAAGAAAAGTAATAAAATGAGTTCTAAAAAAAAAAATGATGATAATAATTATGGAAATATGTCACATTTAGATGAGGTCTGGCATTTAACGGCACCAGAAAAACCTGGATGTTAAACGCTGTTACTGCATAAAAAAAATAATATTATGTCTGGTCTCAATTGAGATCGATTGTGAGATAATACAATTGTCATGCACAAATTTTGGCTTGGTGTTTGTTATTCCAGGTGTGGTGCGTGGACGCTCCACTTATCTCGGATGGCCGTGTTAGCGGCGCCGCTGTGGCTACCTATAATTCCCTCTCAAAAGGGTGAAATGATATCGTTATCTTCTGCGACGGAAGGAGAAGCACGAGGGGTCCGGGGACGACTACTACCTGCGATCCCTCGCAGGTAGTAGCGAAGATGACGACAGTCACGTACCTACAGCCAAACAAATTGTGCCTAAATACGGAGTAAATGGTGGTACTCGGAATAAAGTATTGATTGGGGATAGACGTGTATTTTTTTGGGGTAAAAGCCAAATCAAATCTACCCCGTTTCTTACATATTTATTTAAACCAGATGCTGCTTTTGGCTGTCAATAACAGTTGAACAGTAAATAACAAATATGCTTATATGAAGACTTACATATATAATACGCGGTATAAATAAAGGTAAGTGGTAAAATACGAGAATCATATGACAATGAAAGCACATAAGGAAAAAATTATAAAATGACATTAGATATTATAAAATGAATCCACATTAGCTTTTAAACGATTCGAAATTCTCCAGTACTATAAGGACCTATTTTATTTAAATGTTGTTTCAATTGTCTTCTAAAAGCACTCACTTATAGTTCAGTCATGTATTTAGGTAGAGAGTTGTAAAGTTTTATTCCAAGGTGTTTCACTTTTTTCAGTACGATGTCGTGGAATTGATATTTTATGTTTTTCTCTAGTATCATCATTGTGTATATGAGACTTAAAGTTCGTGTTTACCTTTATTTGGTTTGATCCAGGTTAACTGACGATGAATGATTATAGCATATAATGTCATGATACCCAATCTCCTAATAATGCTCCTATAGGGTAATTCCGGTAGAGATCGACCACCGGGAGAGACCGACCACTGCCGGTAACTTAACCACAAAGCAATAGATGAATCCGTGACTCACATGTATGATATAATTAGTTGACCTTGTTACATGGAACACGTATTACAGTAGTATAAATGTACAAATTAAATTTAAAAATTTGTGCAAACTTGACAATTTTTTGACTGATTTACTGTGTTCGTGATATTTTAAAGACGGGTAAGTTTAATTGAACTGTTTCAATACTGGATGATAAAATATGCATCAAACTATAACATAACCCCAAAAATGTAGGCATTTATCATTTTTCCTTCGGTTAACAAGGTGGTCGATCTCTCCATTAACTTTGGTAGAGTACGACCACATCAATCCGGGAGAGACCGAAAATGGAAATAATAATAGTATTAATGAAATATTCGGCGGTCTGAAGGAAATTAGTGATACAATAAAGCTCAATTTGAAAAAATAAATTTATTGTAAAATAATATTGTTACAGATTAACAAAAATGCCCACGACTTACAAAAGGAAAAATGAAGAGACAGCTAAACTGAGTGCCGGTTCTTTAAGAAACGCAATTGAATGTGTACAAAATCGTACAATGGGTGTAAATGAAGCCGCCAGACAATTTGGAATACCTAAACCAACGCTAAAAGATAGGATTAAGAAGGGGGACGCAATAAAACAACACAGATTAGGTCTGTCATCAGCGTTGGGAGAAGATGCAGAACTAAAATTGGTGCGACACATAAAAAATTGCAAACATTTGGATTTGCACCAGATCGGGAGTCCGTCAGAATATGGGCTTTTCAACTTGTAGAAAAATTAAAACTGAAGCACACATTTAATAAAGAAAGAGGCAAGGCCGGTTATCATTGGCTTAACTCGTTTTTACGTCGACATCCTGATATATCGATTAGAAAAGCCGAACGAATTTCTATTAACAGAGCGACTGGAATGAACCGTCTGTTTGTGAAACACCATTTTACCCTTTTAGAAAATGTTCTCACTGTTCCCACTTGTTGCCAAAACTAACGCAAAAGCAGTCGTCAAAAGCAGATGAATGGGACGAAAACGAATGCGTAGGATGTGGGGAAAATTATTTTAAAACCACTAAGAATGACGAATGGCTCAAATGTGTGAACTATAGTCGTTGGTTTCAAAATGGATGCTCAAAATTCGAGAATATTTGCGATATATGCGGAAAATTTAACAAGAGAAGTCGAAAAAATTAAATGTATTTATATTATTATACTGTTCAAACATGTTTTATTATTCTATGTTTTCTTATTTTTCGAAGTCGATCTCACCTGTAGTTGGTGGTCGGTCTAACCCGGACATCCGGGTGAAATCGACCAGTTACAATGTTTAAACTTTTAGTTCAAAATAAACATTTATGTTTGTATTATATCTTAAATTGTGATTTATTTACTATCCTAACCCTTTAGGTAATGCCTCAACAGTAAAAAAAACGTGTACCTCAGAAACCAAAATATTTACAATATTTTTTCCAAAATGTGGTCGATGTCTCCCGGACTTACCCTATGGGTCATCATGTTTGGCATTGACAATGCGCCGCACTGCAGCATACGGATAGCTAGGGGATCGGGGACTTCAGTACCATTGAACGAATGTCAAAATCACAACTTACACGTGGTTTTCCCGTTCGTGTGTGGCAGCCATGTGTATATCGGTACTATAACTGTGATTCGATCGGGAAATGTGCATGTGAGAGCAATTGCTTGGTAGTTCCCGATCCCTTGGATATCCGTATCAAATGTTGTGTGTATGGTTTGGGATATCGTTTTCGCCTGACGCACCACGTCATGTTATTCTCTCACCGAGTTTCTGTTCTTAACACTTCGGGATAGCAGGATGCCGATAACCATAAAATCTCCACCAACAAATAAAGGCATTGGATTGGATACGGCTAATTACATCTGAGAGAGGCCCCAGTAGTGACAGGTTGTTTGCTAAGGTGGTTAACTCGATTACGAGAGAGAAATTTAGATACCAAATGCTCAGAAACCAGAGAAATGTCACATTAGGTATTTAACAGAAGAATTTGGTGTCCTCACATCAAGTGACCGATGTATTTAAATCGAGTAAGCATTGCTCTTGTATATCCAGACTATGTACTAGATTCAAGTGAAGGATTCTCTAATATTATGGATTACTACTTTGATTCAAGGAAATCAAGTATTCCTATCAAGAGCTTAGAAAATTGATCCAAGGAAATGATGCTCACATGTCATGAGACTTATGTACTTCATTTACAGAATGGAGGGTTTTATATCATGTTACCAATGTATTTGATTTGAAAAGCAAGTATCTCACTTCAAGTAAACGATATACTCAGATTAATAAATTTCCGGTACTTGAACTGATACAATGAATATCTAGGATGAAATATACATGGTGTCTCAACATTTAGTGGACACAAAAGAATTACTATAGTTTGACCAGCTTAAAATAAGTCGATTGAGTTCAACTTATCTATATCCTACAGCCTCGTTTGCCTGTGAGGAAGCTTCAAAGTTTATATACAATTATATGTTAATAGAGATGTATCAATTATAAATAGCCCATATGTAAACATAAACATTACTATGCTTATTTGATATTTAGCTCAATTGTCAAATACGGCTAATTTAACCGTTTCCGGATTGCCAAAACTGTATAATAAAAAATCGAAAATATCTTCTCACCTTCGCAACAGACGAACAAGGCAGGTTAGGATATACAGGGTGTCCGCAAAGTTGGGGTTTTCCTTTACACGACGTGTAGATCTTGAAAACATAAGCAATTTTTCTTAGTACCATATACACCAATGTCTTAAGGGAACCTGAGATAAAGGGCTCTGCAACATCAAAAATATCTGAATACCGTCCTGTAGCCGCGAGCCGCGATATCTCAGACTGGTACCGGCTACTAGCTGAACCCGACGACAGAACTGGGTCGGGGGTCGGGGTCAGTGTGTCAGGTCAGTATGCAACCTTCAACCGACGGTAAAGGGTCACGCGTATAGAGGTAACGAATCCGTATAATCGATTGCGTATCAAAAAAAAAAATAATAATGGCACACTCATACATCAATAATGAACTCGTTGATATGTTGTTAATTTATGGAGAATGTCTTCAAAATGATACAGAATCGTCGCGAGTGTATGCAGATCGTTTCCCTAGACGACATCATCCAAGGCCCCGCAGATTTGTGTATCAGAGAGTCAGGGATACGGGCCATTTGGAGGAATTTCGAGGTGGGCACAGTGGGAGGCCTAGACAACCACGAATGGTGCAAGTTGAGGAAGAACTACTGAATCGCGTAGACGAGAATCCCTCAACAAGCACTAGAGACGTGGCTAGAGAAGTGCAAGTATCAAAAACTAAAGTGTGGCAAACGTCCAACGTGTACAAGCCCTTCAACCTGACGATTTTCCAGCAAGAGTGCGGTTTTGTGAGTGGTTGTTGCATCAACATGACAATAATCCGGACTTTTTGAAGTGCATATTGGTAACAAACGAATCTACGTTCACGCGTAATGGGGTGAATAACTTTCGATTTCAGGCAGAGACGTCAACTGGAGAGTGAGTACTTTTTCCTTTATTTTTTTTACTTGGTCGCCCTCGTTTCACTACACATTACCTTTGTTATTTCAAGGGTAGTTGTTTCTGAAAAGGAAAACCCCAACTTTGCGGACACCCTTATAATATATGGGTACCTGCAGCTCAATTGGCATATCTATAGTAACCCGATGTCCACGGAAGTTTTGAGCATCATGTACAGAACTACAAAAAAACCTTTCAAAGTTCAATTTCAACAATTTCATGTGCGGTAGACAAAAATAGTTATTTCTCCAATGTAATTATAGTAAGAGTATAGAAAAAATAATATTTGAAGTAGTCAATCTCTTCCTGGTTCTATTTTAATAAAATGAATCATACAGTTATTATTAAGACACCTAAAAGAGAATATTCGATGACTTTTTATGCCAAGTTTTTTAGAATATCAATTTGACAATTGACGGAGTGGTGAGTTGGAAGAAAGTGAACATAATGATTTTATGTATTTAACATATTTATTGTCATACAAATATCACATTACATTAAGCAACGTCAATGGTGCAACGCACGTAATGGACTCACATAAATATCCGGAATAATTTTGTCTGTAGGTAGATTGATCTTATTAACTGATTTTTGTATCAGAGTATACATATATATGTTATCGTCAGTAACAATATAATTGGTTTCTATGTTCGATATATCTGGTCCTACCACTATTAAATAAGGCTGAACTGTAGCTTTTCCTTCTGCAGCCTCGCTTTCTTTTAAGCAACAATAGTGTTAATGTCTCCGGGAACCTAAACAATATTTCCAAATTATAAAAATTCATAAATGTAAGTTACTGCATCCATAGGCATATTTTATTGTGTAAATTTTGAGAACAGGTTTAAAATAATCCAAAGATGTTTATATCTATTTTCAATTTCTTTTCAATGTCAACGAAAACGTGATAATTTTAAAAATTATCTATAATATGCCCGTAGTAAAAACTGTTCCAAACATAATCTCAGCTTAAGATTTACCAGTATTCCATCCAGGCCTTCTAGTGTCGAGAATTTCCGCCACTTGTTGCCAGCCTTGACTTTTTAAGTTGGTGGTATCAAATAATTTAACAGCTCCAGCGCAGCGGTGCGGGAAGAATGCTATCTTGAAAATTCGAATTTGTTGACATGGTTGAATATAATGAACCGGTCTGGATGAGTGGTAGAACTATATAATGATTGTACCAATTTGAAAGTTGAATATATATTATTCAGATATTTATATTAACAAAAAAATGTACCAAAGCATCGAAGAGGTATCGTTTAACAACTGAGTCACCGTGGGATCCCTTGATGAAGTCCCCTCAGTTCAACAATTTTTTCAAGTACATTATCCTAATTGTTGTATAAGCTAAGAGCTTTGTCAGAAAACAGTATCTCAAAATCCAGGTTAATCTGCAATAAATATTTGTTAGATGTAACTTGTTAAAATAATGAAAATTGGCGGAAAATAGAAAGGAAAAAATTATAATGATAACAATCTAGTCAGTGACACCAGCAGAATGATCTGATTATTTTTCGAAATGTAGGATATTTTTTACCAAAACTTCTCCCCGGAGATATTGAAAAATAGGCCAGTCTTGTAGAAATTGTTTCACTGTTTTTCTATCGCAATCCCTTCTGATCGCATGAGCCTTCTTAAATCTTTCCATCACCTCACTCCATGGCTCCGTGTTGTGTTTTAGCCACAAAACCATCTCACTAATTAGAGGATCTGTAAAACAGTTTGAAATGTGTTCTTTCTAGACCGTAGATTACAATATCACGGAAGCTCTCTGACATTCGGGACTCAGCTATTTTAAATGAAAGTTGCCAGCAGCGCTGAAACTATACTGTTTTTCAGAATAACTGTGGCATGGAAGGAATACAGCAAATTATTTGAAAACCTCTACCTATAAATATAAATTATTGGAAAAACAGTGATATGAAGAAAACATGGTACAAGAAAATTTTGAGTAGCTGCCGACTTTCATTTGAAATGATAATGACAGGAAAACTAGAAAAATCTGAGTATTTCGGAGCCATTCATATCCCAATCGCTTTCTCAGACACCACAAAGTATGTCGCAACCATTTTTTGAGTTTTTTACGCGACAATAAAAAATTTATTAAACCCGGGTCGAGCCACGTGGGACAATCGGGGACATCGCGTTATCAGTATAACCATCACCGGTGTAAGTAATTATGGTTACCCAGATTCATTATGAAAGTCATAAACTCATATTATGATTACTTACCTTCGAACTTTTCAATAATACCTACTCCCGTTCCTCATTTTTCTAATAGGGTTTCAATTCCATCCAAAACTGTCACAAAATAAAAAACACTATAAAAATATATAATATGCAAAGCAAACGCTCCAATTCGATAACTTCCTGGTGCGTGGTCCGTCGCTGGTCGCATGCCTGTCGATTCTTGCAAATTTGTAAGAGCGATGATCACATGGCCACGCGGCATTGTCAGTTCCTCTATTGAAGTTATCAGAAGACAGTGAAATTAGGATTTTATACATGTTATAATGTATGAGTAGATCTTTAAAATGTACTTGTGGCTAAGTTATCCAAACTATATTGTTATGATGGATAATTAAAAATCAAAACATAAAAAGCTGAAAAGTGGCCTAAGCAAGAGTTTTCATAATTTGTGAATACATATTTGTGTACGAGTTTGCAACCGGCTGTGATGGTATTTTCGAAACATAAATTAGGAATTTTTATCTTTTCATACGTTTGTTGCTCAGGTATTAATATTTTTGAAGATGAATATACTAAAAATCAATGTTTAGTAGCTATAATGTCTAAGTCTTGTTTGAAGATATTCAACGTTTTCTTGTTCCAATGAAATATATGATAATGTGAAGAAAATGATGAACTTATTTTAAATAACTCAACAAGATTTGATTTAAAAACATGAAGATCTTGATACAAATGTAAACATTTTTAGAAATAGAGTAGTTTTTATTTTTAGAGCATATTACAAAGAAATATATTTCTCAACCCGAGAAATCCTTTTTCCTTGAACCAAAGAAATTACCTCATTCCAAATACCTGTGACCTTATATCAAGTCCATACTTTTAAGAGAATTTCTGCACTGCAACCAAGATCTCTTTTTTGTGTATCCATAGACTCACTGCAGGTGGTGGCTGGAATCCCGTGATTGATGGTGAGGAAGACTGATTCGGGATATTAAAACCTCGACCGACAAGGAAGCGGTGCAGATAGATCGTTACACTGTACCGATTCTAACAGGAACTCCTTGCTTTGACAGCTACCTAATGAGTGTAGGAAAGAGAAACCGCGAACTTCATATATTGCAATAAGGAGGAGAGGATACTCCTGCTCATCTGTTATTTATCTGAAGACGATTGAAGATAACTTATCAATCACAAGTTGTGATCTCGAAATTGCATAGACGATGAAAGTCCGCAATCAAACTTTTAAAATCTGCTTATCTACTCGGGTGTGGTACATGCCTTCTAGAGACATGTAGAGTGGACACCCGGTGAGAGTTTTACTGCTGACAACTCTGTGGCATTTAATCTTCCACTATTCTACGCTGGAGAATTGACAGTAAAACAAGTAAAACAGGAAATCACATGCTTTTGTTGGTGTCACTTCTACAAATGGTTCCGTCATGTTGTGACATGTTGACCGTTTTACCTAGGATCATTTACTTTAAATCCTTGACAACACAGATGATATTTGCTTTGGTGTGAATTTGTCCAAAGGACTTGTGAAATCGGATTCACGTGTTTATATCGCTAATGACAACTCAAATCGTAATCCAATCCCAGGATTAGCTCGTTTTAAAGAATATAATCCTAATTGCTTATATCGGGAGTGTTGAATCAACCATCTTACATAAGTCCTTGATATAAACGTAGTGAATAAGTTACAAGTCAAGAAAAGTAAACTCATCTGGTTGATATTTACACAGAGCGTCACTAGAAAATACAAAAACAATACATTGGCATGTCTCGTGAACGTAGTTCATTGAACAAGTAGGCATGATCACGAATCTTGATCCAAGGGATTTTTTGTGAGTCAACATTATAAAACTTGTCGTATCATGAATCTTGTTTTAAATAAAAATCGGAAGACTCTGCGCCACTGCCTCTGACATAGTATAGTAGGAGAAAGGCGAACGACCCGCTTCAAAGTACAGTTAGCCGGCCTCTTGTCTATTCCTAACAACACCGCGACAATGCTTTTTCCTACTCGCTGCTGCCCATGAATCGCCTAACTAAATAACAGGTAATAGGTATTGGGTACTTTTATTTCAGGAAACTGTCCTTGTTATCTGAAAATACGAGAAGTAAAGAGGTGGACCTATTTCGGTGAACTGGCTGACAAAGTGATAAATAATTAACCGAATAGTTTTATGGACTTCATCGTTTAAATCTAAAAGTAACATGCCTAATGCAATATTCACACGTTCAAATATGACTAAAGTATTTTCAGCACTGCATCTCTAAGTAACTTTAAAAATCATCCTGAGTTTGTCTCTCTGATACATTTTCATGTCTAATATCTTGGGTCCTAAATGAAACAGAGAGGCTACTATTGCTTTGCTGATATTTCGGCCTCACTGTTAACTTCTTCTAAAAAGTACAAAACCAAAAATAAAACGCTAGCAAAGGAATTTTTCAACTATGGCTTCATTTATTGGCTAGAACAATATTGAAATGGGCTGCATCTAGAGTTGCAGTTTTATGGCTAGACGTTTTAGAACGCAAAAACATACATTTTTGAACTGATGTATGCTTCAAGAAACGTCCATAAAATATGTATCATCTGAAATATGCGTCAATTAAAATAGATGTACAACAGCTTTCTCGATAATACGTCTCTTGTTCATGAGCAGGCTGTAAGTAAAATTTCATCTGTAACTGGGGAGCCATGTTCACATGAAATTAGTATGTTGACCTAACAACAACTGTTGATCTCAGAACACTACTTACGGATTTTGCTACACATACTTGACACTTCCGACCTATTCTCATATGTTACCGTCATGTAATTTAAGTGATGTAAGTAGCCGCGATGCGTACGTGCTTGTGGCCCCTCATGAGAAAATCTGAAAGGTGTACGAGTGTATGTACAGATTGCAGATAATAGTTGTCATAGTTACAATCAAATATTTCACCAAACAGAAATCTTCCCAACCTGTACAGGGGAGCAAAGAAAAAATAGTGGCAATTTTAACAAAGTTCCTATAATATACCCATGGGTCCTAAAATGTCAAATACAATGCATTGAATATATCTACAGACGGTATAGGTATCGACATAACTGCACAGGCAGAACTAACAGTGTAAGTAATACGAATAAAAATATTCTTTGGAAAACCTAAAACCAGGAGTTTATGGAAGCTGGGATACTTCGACCACTACAGAGGGAAAATAATGACTTCTTGTAAAATGTCTCCCAAACTAAAGAAACACTATACCATTTGTGTAAGATTGGCTCCTAATTCTCATATTAATTTGAGAAGTACTTCATATAGTCCAGGACTATTAGCGTTTCTCTGCTGAAAAAATCCCACCTGGTTGAATTTTTTACCTTAGCTTCTTTTCAGCATTATAAATCATCCCTCAAAAGTCCCCATGAATCCAAGTGGAGTTTTTTTTGTTATGGGGGGTCAAAGGTCACAAAAAACACTTTTTTCCGTATATCTTCGGAAATATCAATTCCACGATAAAATGAGCCTGAAATGACCTGTTTTGTTCAGTATAAAATTATCCACAAAAAAGGTTTAATGCATTTTTTTCGTAGAGATCGTTTTTTCAAAGAAATGTTCATGTGATCTCCCCAATAGGCCCAATCCACGAAGATAGAATGAAAAAATGATGTTATTGATACTTTTTGTGTTGAGCATAGGAAATTCATGGAGTCTATATTTTCATCGAATTCCACATTATTCGACTCTTCATTGTTTGAGATCATATTCAGACATGACTGTCCATGACAGTAGCCGCAAATGGCGGAACAGTGAAGGCCAATTTTCCTACATCCGCAATTGGCTCCACAACCTTTCGTACAATCACAAAAGATTGTGTTTAATAAGACATCAGGAGCAGGTGGCAATAGAGTTTGTATTGGCTGTAGACAGTCGTCGGTCATGGTCCATCCCCAATCCAATGGATTCAAATTCTTCCCAAGCCATTTCTGGACTTGATAATATAAACGACATAAATGTGCTTGAGCTGCACTCGATGTTGTCGAACATTTGATTTGTAGGAGGATAATAGTCGCTATTCGTGAGTGTCGATTGTATATCTTCACGAATAATTGGTGCAGCGGCCTCTAAAATTCTAAAACGTTCCTCTTTCTCATCAGATTTACGATTGTCATACCCGGTTTTGTTCAAGATATCATGACGAACATCGGAGAAACAAATAATCGTTGAACTTCAACTCTTTGTTGTAATGTCGATTTTTTTACCGTACTTTTCAACAAGTTTTGTTTTTACAGTAACATAATCAGGTACAAAATCAGTACATACCTTTTTAAGTTCCGATAAGGTGAACTAACAGTCATCATTATTTTCAATGTAATTATATATTTTCTCCATTGCCAAAGAGATGTTGATATCTTGAGGTTTCCCATGCTTTAGGGAGTCAAAGGTCGCGCAAAAGAGACGTAGCAATCACCGAGGAGGGCTAGCGGTCGAGGTGCTAGGTCGAGCATCCCGCTCCCTTTTAGCAGCAGTAATGCTACTTGCACGAGTATATTCTTTGCGACACACCACGTGCACTCTGATCGATTCAACACTCCGCAAAAATGTAATTTTTCCATCATTTTTAATACCGCGCTCGACGCAAACAGTCTGACAGCGATTTGTCGCAAATGATGCAATTTTCGGCCATTTTTCAATTTATATGTGAAT